TGTCTGTCTGTCTGTCTGTCTCTGTGTGTGTGTGTGTGTGAGTGGTGGGTTTCAAAAAAAATTGGAACCTCTTCTGTAGGCGTGGCCTGCTTTCCGGGTCCACTGGTGGAACCTCTTCCAACCGGTTCGGTAGATTTGACGAACCGGTTTTATCGAACTGGTGCGAACCGGTAGGACCCCCCCCTCTGCACTGCACTCTAACCACTGTGCCACTTCGGCTCATTTCAACCTTGTTTGCACCCTTGGCTGAGGGAGGAGCCCCTCCTGGGTCCCCCAAATCCTCGCCCTCCAAGAATCCCCCCCCCCCAGGGTTTTTCGGCATGCTGCTCCAGCCCAGGAAGTTGCAGAGTAGACCGGGGGGGGAGGGGGGGTGTTGTAAGCAAAGTGAAGAGATACCCATTGCAGAAGCCCCTCGTGATAGAAGGCGGGGGGGCACAGCTACAGCGCGGCCGTCCCGGGTGGCACCAGGCAAGGAGAGAAGGAAGCAGAAGAGAGAGAAATTGTGAGCTCAGACACACAAACAGGGGGGTGCACCGTGCACACTCCGATGGGGGGGGGGAGGAAACCCAAAGGGAGCCACTTTCCACCTTCCCCATCTTCTGGGGCCGGTGGAGTGATTTCTGCAAGGAGTCCTCGACTTACAACATTTAGTGACCGTTCGAAGTGGCAACGGCACTGAAAAATGTGACATGACTATTTTTCACACGACCGCTGCATGCCCTCCCCCCCCCCCCGAGTCACGTAATCAAAGTTCAGATGCTTGGCAACTAATTGCAATATCCCAGGTCACATGACCCCCTTTTGCGACCTTCTGACGAGCAGAGTCAATGCCAGATTCACTTAACAACCTAAGTCCACATTCCGGCCAGAGAGGACCATTGCCTTGAAAGAGGGGTTAAAGGGGCCATCTAGGTCAAAGTTGAGCAGCCCTCTCTCAACCATGGGTGGGGGAGGGATACGACCCCCCCCCCCATCTCCTCTTCACAACACAGTCCTTTTGGCCATTCCAAGAAGGCTCCCCAGCCATTTGGGCTCTGATTCAGGGGACCCTGAGGACACAGATGAACCTCCAGGTGGCCTCAAGGACTCTCAGAGGGAGGACCAACAACCAGAGGACTGCAAGGAAAGCGAATCCTTCCATCCTCCACCATTCGGTCAGAACTGAAGAAGGAGGAAGGGAGGGAGGGAATTAGGAAAGAATGGAGGAAGTTAGGAAGGAAGGAAGTTGGAAGGGAGGAAGTAAGTGAGGAGGTTAGGAAGGAAGGAAGTTAGGAAGAAAGGAAGTTAGGAAGGAAGTTGGAAGGAAGGAAGTGAGGAGGTTAGGAAGGAAGTTAGGGAGAAAGGAAGTTNCAATCTATTTAATATTACATGTCTTGACGGCAGCAAGAATTGTAACATGCACAACACAAAGAACCACCCATAGAAGAAGATGTAATTTAAAAACCACTAGATTGTGCAGAAATGGATAGGTTGACATTCAAGATAAAAGATGCAGAATATTTTCAAACGTGGGACTTATTTTATCAATGGCTGGACAATAAAAGTAGAAATCAGAAATTGGAAAAAATACTATTATGTATGTCTTACGTTTACTATATTATATTATATTATATACTATTACTAGCTGGATACCTGTGCTTTGCTACGAAACTATGTGATTTGGGCTTGATACTAAAAGCTTGAAAATTAATGTAGAACGTGTAACTCCTTAGCATCAGAGCATGTTAATGTAAGGCAACTGGCAGTTGGAGCAGAGTTCCTTTTAGGTGGGGAGGGGGAGTAGAACATCTAACTCCTTAGCATCGACGCATGTTAATATAATACTGTATAAGAAATATTGATGATCTGATGGTCATTTCAACAAATCCTTTCTTAGCAAGGACCTGGAAGCCAAGAGGAACATACATGCCGAATTTCAAGTTTGTAGGCTTTATAGTTCTGGAGATTTCATGATGAGTGAGTGGCATTTGGCTTTTACATAGAGCAGTGGTTTCCAAACTTGGCAACTTTAAGACTTGTGGACTTCAACTCCCAGAATTCTTTAGCCAGCAGAGCTGGCTAAAGAATTCTGGGAGTTGAAGTCCACAAGTCTTAAAGTTGCCACGTTTGGGAACCACTGATATAGAGAGATAAGTAAATTAACCCAGAAAACAGCTCTGTTCATAAAGTACTTGTGTATGTTAAGGAAAATGCATCAATAAACTCTTAAAAAAAAGAAAGAGAGGCAATATTGATTGAGATAACACCGAAAGGGTAAATATAATTTCCTCTTGTCCCAAGGGAGAAGAGGACGCAGAATGAAGCTGCCTCACCACTTCCATGAAGAGGACGGAGATGTCAAAGTTGGGGTTCTTCTTCAGGTTCTTGATGACAGTTGACTGGACCATCTGCCCACCACACTCCACCAGAAGGCTGGGAGACGTCACGCTGGCCAACTGGTAGCTCTTCAGGTTTCGAAGGCCCCAGGCCAAGACCTGCCCCCCCCCAAAAAAACCCAGAGAAAGTTATCCAACGTGGAACTTATTTTGCCAGTGGTTGGAGAAAAGGGATGAAGAACGCGATCAGCACTGCTGAGCAGATAAAATAACCCAGGCAACTCGATGATGATTAACAAAATGTAAAGAATAGAAAATTAAGAAAACTTTGTTTTTAAAAATGGGCAATTCTCTTCCCTTAAATCTTTCCAGAGGTCCTCAATTCACCGGGACTTCTGCGCCTACCTCGATGGCCGTTCGCTGGAGAACAGGCTTAATTCCTTGGGGCACCATGTAGATGTTGGGCTCCCTCTGGGGTGGAGGGTAAGGCAGGTCGGAATCTGCAGACTGGAGGAGACGTAAATTGAGTCAGTGGGTCTCTTTCAGGCGGTAAGAGGAACGGAAGCCCACCCCACCGGTTCCTCCAACCAGCCCAGAAACTTCCTGACAGTGAGGACAATTAACTAGTGGAACTGCTTGCTACCAGAAGTTGTGGGTTCTCCAACACTGGAGGTTTTTTAAGACAGCCACTTGTCCTGAACGGTCTCCTTCTTGAGCAGGAGGTCAGACTAGAAGACCTCCAAGGTCCCCTTCCAGCTCCCTTATTCTGTTGTTTTCTTATTCCTTCCGGTGACTTCATTCACAGGCAAAAGGAAAGGTGAGTGAAGTTGGTTGAATGGAAAGAGACGTTCTTCAGAATCAGGCCCGAAGGGGGTCAGACCCTCCGTGGTCTGGGAGGGCTTTGCCATTCAGGTGACCCCCCCCCCAAACCTTTGCTCCTCGCCTGTCACAACATCCCCTGTATTAATAGCGAAGCATCTTTGCTTCCATGGATTCATCTCCTGGGGTTTCTTTTTTGAATACTGTGGGCTCAATGAAATATAAAATAAATGGCCTATTGCTCTCCTTGGGAACTTGGAACCAGGAGGGGCTCCGTCCTCGGTAACTGAGTTTAAACAGGGTTGGGATTAACGCCTGTCCATCAACGGACAAACACTGAAAAAATAATAATACAAAAGAATAATAATAATCATAAATTGATTAATTAAAAAGAAAACAAAAGCAATTTTTTTTTAAAAAAAAAATGGAAGGCAGACTGGAAGGCCACCAGGTGATTTTTCTGCCATCCCTTTTCCACGTTTCCAACTTCCCTTTGAGGAAGGAGAAGAGGCTGCCAAGTGATAAACGCAGGTAACCCTCGACTTATGACAGCTCGCTTAATGACCATTTTCAGCGCAACAGCACTGAAAATAGGGACGTGTGATCGTTTTTCCACACTTACGACCGGCTCGTCTTTATGACGGCCCACGGGGGTCACGTGATCCCTGCTGCGGCCTTCCGACGAGCAAAGTGCATGGGGAGGACGGATTCACTTAACAACCAGATTATTATTCACTGAGCAGCTGCAGGGATTCGCTTAACGACGGCGGTGAGAAAAGTTGTAAAATGGGGTAAGACAGAAATTCGGGGCTCCCTGGTGGCCATAAGTCGAGAGGACTACCTATGTAAAATGCCCAGCGGTGGCATCATGCCGTGAGCTGCCAAATTGGGGTGGCGGGCATCAGGGCATCCCCTGCACTCCAAATTCCTGAAATTGAGAACCGTTCACCTCTTGCGAACGCCTGGAAG